CCGCGCCAGTAGCCAGGCCCCTGGGATAAGGGCATGGCGGTGAGCGTGCTCAGCGCGGAGCCAAGCCCCCCCCTCCCCCCCTCCCCGCCGTGCTGCTGCTGCTTTCCGAGCTGCACGCCTGGCCAGCAGCGGCGACTGCTCTTGCAACTCTCCCCACGACAGTCTTGCCGCCCCCTTTTGGGCTGGGTCCCCCAGCTGGAGACGTGCTGATCGAGTCTGGCCTCCCATCGAACCAAGGCTAGAGAGCTTCCCCCAGGGATTCCCGGCTTGATCCCAACAGCCTGCGGTTGCATGGCTTTCAGGGAACGGTCCCAGCGGGACTCACCGGGCAACCCAGTGCCTGCCATGGCTGCAAGTACCACGGTTCACCAGGGCATGGACCGGCCAGGGCTTGCAAGTGTCCCTGCCCCTCCCTCAGCATGCAGTCCCCTCCCCAAACCGCGAGGCAGAGAGAGCACAAGGCCGAGACGGCAGACGTGTAAAGCAAAGTGGGAGACCTGCATAGTGCTGCATGCCTGCGTAGGCTTGTTGGAGGGGGTCTGCCACAGTGGGACTTTGAGCTGGGAAGAGAAAAGAAGGGAGAAGGGAGAGAGAGTGAGCGAGATCGGCCAAAGAGGAACAGGCATGGCGGCGGCGGCAGCCAGCAGGGATCAATCAGAGATCCAGCCGATCCGGACCGTCCCTCTGCTCCTGTTGGCTTTTTGTCCCCGCTCAGCAAAGCAACCTGCCCTGAGAGCCAAAGCAGCCGGCCTGCCCCAGATCCCTCGCAAGCCAGGGGATCGACCGCTCCCTCTGGAACAGGCACGCCTCCTCCTCCTGAGGGGCACCAAGCGCTCAGAGCTTGTCTCAGCGCCTGCCAGGATGGGCCCCTCTCAGGGAAGGAGGGTTCTACTAGGGAATGGGAGCGTGTCCAGCCGGCGGCAGAGCGCGGTGGGAATGGGATGCTTGTTCCGCCCAGCGCTGAGAGCGCTCGGAGACGGTTCCCGTCTCGAGGGAGGCCCAACAGGCCAAGCCCTCCAAAGCGGCACCCGCGGACAGTCGGAACAGAGCAGGCTCTTGGGATGAGCTTTGCTCCCCGTCTCAGCCGACCTGTCGGAGAGAAACGAAGCGGCGGCCGCTGCAAAGGGACACGT